GCTAGCTGCAGTGGTGGGGGGAGCTCCCAGCTACACCAGCCCTGGCCTGTCCTGGGGGAGGGAGGGGGGTGTTGGGTGTTATTCAGGGAGGGGCAGGTGTAGGGTGTGGACCGGTTTTAGGGACGCCATGAACCGAAACCCCCAGGGCTGCGCTCAGGTCTGGACTAGTCAGGGTGGAGAAAATGAAGTAAGAGCTCCTGCGTGTGAAACCTTAGCTGGGGCCCGGAACATGGGCCCCTCCCCTTGTAGGGCCCCCAGCTCCCTTCTGGCTGTAGGGAGTGAGGAACGGGCATGGGGCCTCCCCTCACCCGCCCATCCCGCGGAGCGCCGGCTCCTGGCCTGCCCTCTGGCTGGGAACTAGCTGGCTCAGGGACAGAGGTAACCCCAAAAGGCAGAGAAGTTTGTAGGCAGAGTTTGAAGTTAGGTCTGAAATAGCGGGGTAACCGCTGCCCTCTGGTGGGGAATTGAGTTAATTACACCAGGTGAGCAAAGAGGTGACCTACACCAAGCAAAATAGAATCAGCGTTGCTCAGTGACTCCTACTTCATCTCTTCTTTATGGTCGCTCCTTGTTTCCTGCCGGCCTGGACGGAGAGCGGGATCCCTGTTGTACGGCAGAGACGATCCCTCTCCCAGACCGCTCGTGTCCTACACAGACAAAGACAGGATCATTCTTCCTGCTTCAGAAGAGGAAACCGAGGCCCAGAGAGATTTAGCGATTGGCCCAAAGTCCCAGAGGGAGGCTGTGGCTAAGCTGGGCATAGAAACCAACTATCCTAATTCTGTGCCCTGTCTTAACCATATGAACAACACCCCAATGTGTTTGTGCCACGTTTTTTCTTCTTTATTTTGCGTACACAAGCCCCTAGTGTATTTTGTAATTCATGTCATTTTAGCCTTGGAATAAACCATCCTTTGCCTGCCTCTTAGGAGTCCCCTGAGATGTGAATCAGGCCTGTCCCAGCCTTCAGTTTAAACCATGTTGGATATTTCACATAATGAACTTTAACACCTACCGACTACTGGGGAGAAGAGTTAAATAGGGAGGTTAGTAAGGGACTAAGACCATGAAGTGGCCTTTATAGGTACACGTGGGTCAGTGGCTGGGTCAGAGGGGTTAGGAAGGTTGCTCTTGTTAATTCTCCATCTATGCTCCACACGCTTTTATGTGACAATGAGACTCATCCATATCCCACTGCAAGCATCTACTTGAATCTGCTGGAGAGAGGAGACATCTGCAGATGTGATCTGCATATTGTCCCCACAGAACCAGTGCCTCCCCTGCAGTGTTAATGTCCCCCATGCAATGTTAATGTGCCTGTTGGTGGTAGATCTTGGGTACAATGGGTGTAATACCCCATCCTCTCAATAAAGATGGTGTTGCCGGCACACAGCGCCCGAGGGGGGCAACAGCTGGGTTCAGTGCCCGGTGTGCGTGCTCCAATAAACACACCGGTGTGGAGAAGCAAAAAAAGTTTATTTGAACGCTCATATAGGTGCCAGGAGACTAGACATCTCAGATCAAGCACACCAACGGAAGCAGTTTCCCCTCCTTATACTCCCAGGTTGTTTACTTGCAGGAAAATAGTGAATTGTAGCAAGGTTCCCATGCTGGGACATGTTGCTTCTCCTCCCCTCTACAGAGACACATCTGAATTCTTCTTCTGTACCACTGATAGTAACTAGGCAACCTCAAGGTCTGTCTGTCTTGCTGTTCCCAGCTATTAGCGAGCCAAAGAAAAGTTATGCCTGGGGCGGGAAGGGGCGGAAGGTGGGGAAAGAGGGGTGCTTGGGCCTAGAGCGGGGGGGCTTCATCGATCCTTGTGATCTTCCACTCCCCCGAGTTACCTAGGATCATGCCCAGTGACCCCAACAATGGGCAGGACCCAAACTGTGGCTTGCTGGTTTTCAGGGCTAGTGGGCATCAAGAAAGACTTGGGGGCACCTCGTATCTGCTTGCACTCAACTCTGTGTTGACTCCTTGGGGGCATCTAGACTGGCAAGATTTTGCGCAAAAACTTGCCAGCTGTCTACACTGGCCGCTTGAATTTGCGCAAGAACACTGACTTTGTAATGTACAAAATCAGTGCTTCTTGCCCAAATACTTTCACGCTCCCACTCGGGAAAAAGCCCTCTTGCGCAAGAATACTTGCTCGAGAGGGCCAGTGTAGACAGGGAAGAACCGTTTTGTGCAAAAAAGCCCCGATGGCTAAAATGGTGATCGGGGCTTTCTTGCGCAAAATCACGTCTAGACTGGCCAAAGCATCCGTGCCAATCTAGACACGCTTTTGCGGTAATACTTTTAACGGAAAAACTTTTCTGTTAAAAGTATTTCCACAAAATCATGCCAGTCTAGACACAGCCCTTCTGTCTGTGAAGTGAAATCAATAGATGCAACACTTGTGAAAGCTATCAAAAAATAGGTCACAGGATGCAAATTGGTCCCAGATGGCACTATATATACCCAAGGGCTGTATCTACACTGGCATGAATTTCCGGAAATGCTTAAAATGGAATACTATTCTGTTTTAAGCATTTCCGGAAAAGGAGCGTCTACATTGGCAGGCTGCTTTTCCGGAAAAGCCCTTTTTCCGGAAAAGCGTCTGTGGCCAATGTAGACGTGCTTTTCCGGAAAAGCGCCCCGATCGCCATTTTCGCGATCAGGGCTTTTTTCCGGAAAAGACTACTGGGCTGTCTACACTGGCCCTTTTCCGGAACAGTGTTCCGGAATAAGGACTTATACCCGAGCGGGAGCAGAATAGTTTTTCTGGAATAGCGGCTGATTTTGTACAGTAGAGCATTGTTGCTTTTCCAGAAATTCAGGGCCAGTGTAGACAGCTCGCAGCTTATTCCGGAAAAGCGGCTGATTTTCCGGAATAAGTGGCCCAGTGTAGACACAGCCTTCAGGAGGTTGTAATTGGGCCTATGGAATGGCAGTAGCAGATTCGACATACACATCCCTCTCTTCTGTCAAGTAAATGAAAAAAAACAGGCTTGATGAATTAGCATTTAATTTGGCTTTTCATGAGATTTTGGATATATCCCACCACATCTGGATGGTTTATTACTTCCCTAGATATATTTCCATTTATTGACATTTCCACAATGAAAGTGCAGAAGATGAGTCACTCGCTTTTTATTGCCTTCCTTATGAAAAAAGTCAGGTGATTATTTCGTAGATTCCACACAATTTGCACGTGGCCTTAAAAATTGGTGAAGTAATGATTGATTTTCTGCTCTCTGATGTTATTTAACTTAATGATTTTTTTCTAACCTCTGACGAAAGTGCTTGCTGGGGATAAGACAGCAGTTTTTTCTTTATCCCCCATATCTACTTGGCTCTAGCATATTCGCCATAACACTTAAAATAAACTAATTACATTATGTTAATGAAAGGGCTGATTTCTCTCCTACTCGTGACTCTCTAAAGGGAGGAAGTTATTTTAATGTATTGTCATTTATTACACCTTATGGCAAAAGTGCGGTAGGTAAACCAATCTCCTAGGATTCCCCTTAGACACTGAAACTAGTTTTCGACAAAGCAGATTCAATGCAGTAAATGGGAATTACTTCCTTTAAGTAATATATACAATCATGGGTTCATTTGTCTCCCACTGATTCTTCCGTTGCATTGTAGGTCGTTATTATATAATTGACTTTCTTCTAGTTCATGGTGAAAGTGCAAGGTATGAATAATTGACACCCTTTTCTCGTTCTCCAATAGCTATGGTATTACCTGGGATTTCGCAAGAGCAGATTCAATACTTGAACCTTTCCATCTACACAGATAATAGGCTAGTTTTTTTTGAGGACAGGGTCATTAGTCAGCTTACTGGCTCTTTTATTTACCCACTCATAACGAAAGTGATGGGTGCACATATACACTATTACATTTAACCCTTAAGTCCTAGATAAAATTTCAGCAAAGTAGATATTATCTCTCAGCCATCTATTTCCGCACTATAAAACAGTTGGTCTCACGATTCTTCTTAGCTTTGCTACAGTTGTGAAATACATTATTAAAATATATTGAAATGTAGCCCCACCCCTGGCGAAAGTGCTGGACTCGAATAAAACCTTATTCCCTTTCTAGCAGCAAGCTACACATTCACCAAAGTAGATTCCATTCCTGCCTCTCTCATTCTCCGCTCCATAAAAGTCGTATGAGCCGGTGAGGGCAGCTCAGGAGTCACCTGTCCCCTGTTGGCTTTTCTATAGCGCTGTACTGAAGTATTGAGAGGGACTGGAATGCAATGCATGCCCGTGGCGAAAGTGCTGCAGGCGAATAACACTCCCTCCCTTAGCTGCCATTTCGCCAAATCCGATTCGTTCCTCGGACATCTAATCCCCCCCCTCGTTACGATCCATCGCTGTCTTCCTTTCAGCGTCACGCAGTATTGCTGTTAATTATTTAAATGTATTTAAATGCATGCCGTCGCATGGCGAAAGTGCCGAGGTTGTGCCTTGCCCCCTAGGAACTAGCTGCGAGTTCAGAAGAGCAGATTCGCTCCCGCCATCTCCAAGTGGGCCCTTCAAAAATAGCCGGGCGCGTGAGGATGAGTCACGCTCCCCCCAGTGGCTCTGCGCGCCGCGGCGAGAGGCGAGGGAAGCAGGTTTCCCCTGAGGCCAGTTTGTGGCGAAAGTGCGCGGCTGGCTCTCCCTGCGGCGCAGGTAGCTGGGGTTTGGGCTCGGCGGATTCGTCACACGACCCCCGCGCTTGGAGGGACGAGAGAGAAGAAATGGCTGCGCCGCGGGGGGAGGG